TTTTCTTTAATTTTGTTTTTTCTTCAAAAATTGATAAATGAAACAGGTAGACATATATGATACATGATCAGTCATTGCAAGTTCGCGCACAAGACTATGTCTTCATTATTTGTACTTTGTTACAACCTGTAAATAAATAAATATATCTAACATACGGCGCCACTCCGGTCTCGACCCGCGCGACGAGGCACCGCCTCGCAGACTCACCATGGCTTCCAGTCGGGCGGCAGCGCTTGCATGAGCCCATCCCGGGCCAGGTGCAGCAGGTGCGGTTCCGCCTCGGGGTTGATGCCGATCTTCACCGCGTAGTCGTGCACCTCTGCAACACACACACGCGCGCGAGCAAGGTTAATTTTCTACTCACACTGTACAAATCGGACATTGGATACATACAATCCATTACATAATGATACTCGTTACCACATACATTTCATTACGATACAGGACCTTGACCAATCACACAGAAGTTTACAAACCAAGTGTTGACACTGAATTAATCGTTGAGAATCGTTGAAGTAAATGGTTCGTTCGATTGTGTACATTAAAATTGCATTTAACATTATAATGTATTATGCTTGTCTGTTTTCTTTTCTTTTATTTTTAGTAATTTTTTACGCAGAATATTATTTAAAATAAATTGGTTCGTAATTCCACCTTCATCCTATTTTACTTGCGCAGTACAAAACCAAACCCACCTGCGACACGATAGGAGAGAAACCTGTCCGCCTTGACTGAATCCTGCATGTCAACTGCCACCAAACGATTCAATGTAAACGTTTAACGTATAAAAATACCATAAATCGTAGAAAATGTATGAAACTCCATATAATGGGTATTAATACACTCGAGCGAAATTTACGATACTCCTGTATTAATACCATCATGACATTGTTGTTTTGTAAGGTACTATTAGGTGTTTCAGGACCAGGTAATGCTTTGTATTTGCAGTGTAATAAATATATACAATGCAAGTTCAAAATCAATTTATTCCATCAAGATCAACTACGTATTAACTTGGTATCAACATTTATCTACGTATTAATTTAACTTTCACTTCATATTAACACACGCCTTTAAAAATCAAATACTCGAATAATGGTGTGCCTCGCCAGCATTTGGTTCAGACTTCTTGCCTTCTAGATCGCCACTCCTGGATCGTTGTTCAAAAAGGTATCCGTAGAACAAACTTCAAGCAAGTTCCTCTGAGAACAATCTAGCGCAACTTTATATATCGTAGTTAAAACTAGTACTGCTACACAATGGCACAGACTTTCTCGAACTAGTTAGTTTTCTAATTTCTAAGGTCGGGTCTCGTTTTTCGATCTTGTCCCATTATCTTACCAGCTGCTATCTATCGCCGCCTGAAGTACATTAAAAAGTTCTCAATTTTTCGGTTTCCCAATGGTAGAATCGATACCTTACTTTACTAAGAATATTATAGAACAGTAAAATCTCGTTCTATATGGATGCTTCCGTGGAAAACGCTGGAGCCGATTTTAAGAAAATGGTGTGTAAGCGTTACTGTAAATGCGAAATTTAAAGTTTTTTTTTTCACGAAAGTCTTTTCGAAATCGAAAAATTTCATTCGAAGATATTTGAGGCACTTCCCCTCACAAATTTGTAATATAAACACGGTACTAGAAGTACTGGAAATGTACATATTAAAGACGTGAGAGATGTTAAAAAAAACATATGTGTAAGTTTTGAAAAAAAACAACAACAAAAGAATACAGAAAAAATAATTTTATGCGTTCTAAAACCAGCTGGTGAGGATTTTCTTCATCAAGGTATCTCACACCAACGTGGCACCGCCCAGTTGGGAGAAGCACTAAGCTAGGTGAGAGCGTAGGCTTCCGCGGCAGGAGTAAGTATTTACTAGGCTGTCCGGGTGACGCCGCGTCCATGGCGAAGGTGCCGACGTTGCGGTCGCCATTCTGCGACCTTCCTCAGGGCGTAATGCATTCCTCAGGGCATTACACCCTGAGGAAGATCGCAGAATGGCGACCGCAATGTCGGCACCTTCGCCATGGACGCGGCGTCACCCGGACAGCCTAGTAAATACTAAGCACTAAGCTCCCGTCCGGTCCCCGGTGTAAGGGGTGAAGATAGAACAAGAGGAAGGAAAGATCGCGCGCGGTCCGTGGCCCGGTTGTTAGGGTACTACTCCGGCATTCACCTAGTGTCGATGGCAAAAACCACGGAAAACTACCGATAAGAGTAGCCGGCCACCAGAATTCTCCTCCAGGCAGAGCCTGAACTTGACCAAGTATGAGAATATAGAGTGAACATCGAGTTATTCGCCGATCCGGTGGCCGAGATCGCTAAGGCAGTAGTGCCGTAGCGATTTCGGACCGAAGGATCGCAAGTTCGAGTCCCGCCTCGGGCATGGTTGAATGTGTGTTCGTCCTTTCCCCCCTATCATCACCATATGTCATCTTCACAGTTACCATACCGTTAAATGCAAAAGTGGTCGCTAATGACCAAGAAGTTGATGCGACCTTAAATAACCAAAAAAAAAGTTATTAATCTTATATCTACAATCTTTGGCGTCATTGCGACTATGTCGCTGCAACTTTCTCACGCTTTGGTGAGATTTTCATGGCCGCAACAAGCACAAAGTCTTCGCTGTCGCTCCGAATCCTCAACGTTAATCGTCCGAACTCCGGTCAATTTTCAAAAGTCTCACTAGGTTTCCATCAGTCGACAGTGGAATTCCGGGAAATCTGTTTTGTCAACCTAAAAAGCAGTGGTAAGGTTGACACGATGGAGACTGTACAATTTTGTGACCGCTTGCAATATATTGGATGTGTCCTACTGTATCAAAATGTCTTCTAAGCGTTCGTGCAAAACCTTTCCGCTGCAGAATAAAATGGAAGTAATTGAGAAATACTAGAAGAAAAAAAGTTTTGCATATTGACATACTTGCGAAATTTAATTTGACATTCATACGAAATAAGGACCAAATTCAAAACGAAAGGGTATAATTTCAAAATTATATCCAAAATACTATACTGAAGTTAAATGGTGAATTTTTGGCAACCTATACAAGACGGAAACCTGACAAGGCGGAATTTGTTTGAAGGAACCGTCAGATTCCGTCTTAAACATGTTTTACATTATTTTGGAATAAATTACACTGCAAATCACGCGTTCACAGTCTTGTCATGAAATTGGAGACGACCCACCCCCCTTCTTAGCAAACCTCAACTCATCTTACAAGTCTGAAGTTATGCGTTGCTATTTCTTTACATTTATTTATATCATTCATCATTTTTAAATATTCGTATCATTGTTTATTTTTATTTTTGTACTTTCTTTTTTTTATTCTCCACCCAGCGTACGCTTATTTGCTGTAATGATTTTTCCATTATTATTATTATTATTATTATTATTATTATTATTATTATTATTATTATTAATAATAATAATAATAATAATAATAATAATAAGACCAAGCAGCCAATGCACTTGCGCTCGAACTTCGGGCCCCTTGAGGATCGCCATGTTCTCGTGGAAATGAGCCGATTCCTTACTATTTGTTACAAGGTACAAGAGCTTGATATTTTTCTATATTTCAGAGAATCTCTGAGTTGTGTTATTGTAAACGAGTAAAAAACGATTCAAATATTAGTTCTCGATAAATGTTATATTCTCAAGCAAAACTCTTTCAGTTTCTTTTCTGCATCGTGTGACGGACTCGAACTGACCTCCTCGCTGGCGAGAAAAGATAAAAATCTATGCCATGCGGCTTCCGTGCCGCACTCAATACTGTCCGGTTATCGTTATAATTCTGCCGCATGCGTGCCAACACCACATCGAAAGAGGTCATTGGGACAGTCGCGGAAACATTGAACGAAATCCCCCCCAAAGCGACAACGGTACACATGGACAACACTGAAGCCTGCCACGTCATGCGTTGTGAAGGGCTGTCATCCGGAATAATCTATTAAACGTGACACCGAAACTATCAGTCGTGTGGGAGCAGAGGCTTCCGGGATGGAGTCTGTAAATGTTTGGGTGTCGGGGAGACGCCGCGTCGTAGGCACAGGGGCCGAGGCCATTCTGCGACCTTCCTCAGGGCGAAATGAGAGTTTAAATGTTTCCTCCCCTATTGTTGGTCAAATGAAAGAGTAGGCTGCCGCAGCCGGAGTCAATAGCTGCTTGGCTGTCCGGCAGACGATGCGTCCTAGACACAGGTGCGAACGTTTCGGCCGCCGCTCTGCGACCGTCTTCAGGAAAAAATGCCACATTTCGCCCTGAGGAAGGTCGCAGAAGGCGGCCGAAACGTTCGCAACTGCGCCTAAGACGCGGCGTGCCCCGGACAGCCACGCAAGTCTCAGACGTGTAGCTACACACAATGGAACTATGCATAATGGATGTTCCTATGCAAATATGCACAGTGACGAAGAATGCGTAAACCATTGTTTTGTCACGGTTAGTTTGAGAGCGGGAGAGATGGCTCAGGGCATCAACTAATGTCACTGCAGGCCCTCTCGGGAGGTACTAGGTTCGACGCAAGCTTATCAGGTTGGTCGAATTCAGTGGTAGTCTGGAGGAGAATTCTAGTGGACGGCTGCTCTGATCGGTCGTTTCCCGTGGTTTCTTGATCAACGACAGGCAAATGCCGGAGCAGTACCCCATCAAACGGGCCATGGACCACGCGCGATCTTTCCTTCCTCTTCCTTGTCTTATCCTTTCTCCTTACACTAGCATGCACCACACTCCACACAAGGCGGGAGACCGGTGGGGAGCTTAGAGCTCTTCCCGGCTGTGATGGTTAAGATCAACACTAGGCGAATGCCGGAGCAGTACCATCACAAACGGGCCACAGACCGCGCGCGATCTTTCCTTCCTCTTCCTTGGTCTATCCTCACCCCTTACACACTTACACTTACTTGCACTACACTACCACACATGTTGTGAGCTTAGAGCTTGCCCCGGCTGGGACGGTGCTCCGCTGGTGGGAGATACCTGGTTGGGGGAAAACCCCGCTAGCCGACGGTAGTTCGGGCGTCGGAGCATGCCATTCAGTGGAGGAAAGTTACCGCCTCCTCCCGAGGGGGAAAACATGCACTACGCTTACAGGACTAATGACCTCTTTAGTTGAAGCGCTTTAACTCACAACCAACCAGCCAACCTATTCGGAAAACAGAAAGAGGCCACTACAAAGCAGGTGGTCTCGCTCTTTCTCATGGAGGAAGGAGTTCTGACTCCCATTACGTGGGTGCGAGTGGGAGAAACAAAGAGCGTCACAAATGCGGGCGCTCTTTTGTTTGAGTGCGAACAACGCGAACGCGATCTGCTGTTGTCGGACGCAGCACTGATGTTGCACTGTTGTTTCCAAATGGGACGGAAAGGGGTCGTGGGATAGGAGCAAGCATTTATTGACAAACAGGTGAAGCATATAAAGCAGACGTTCGCATTGTCTTTGACCGCCGAGCCGATTTTGCGTTCTCGCCCTTCGTAAGAAAATTAATGTAATCGTCCGCCGGATAACGAAGTTTCGACAGAAAAACATTTTGCGGATCCTGGTAACGAAAAAATGGGTAAATCTCATTCCATACAGAGTAAATTACTTCTTCTAACTCGTCAGAATCGAAGTTTTTGGGTCCTTGATACTAAAAAATCGAATTGAAGTAAAAAAAGGCCGGCTGACTATGGTCAACGCTACTACCTAAATCGTTCAGCAGATTTTCTCCAAAATTGATATTCCTCAATATATTCAAAGGAACTCGAGGTCCTGCGAATTTGAAACGGATAGATTGATTTTGGGGGATCCTTTGCTTAAAGTCTCGAAAACAATTTCAAAATGTTCTCAAAAATGGCTCCAAATTTTTTGAAGAAAGTTTGTTTTGAATAGCCTAAAGAACGCTTAAATGAATTGTGTGGGTTTTATTTTCGTTGAAATCCCTGAATTTTAGAACATTAAAATAATGCGAGAACGTATGTGCTGTTCTAGCACCACTAATTACTAATGATGATTCATAAAAGCTATTCAAAGCCCTACGGGGATATATTCATCACTCATTGTTCTGTCGACGACAACCAAATCAAATGGTCAAGAGTGTTGGTTATTTTAATAACTTATACTTTGAACGTATATTTTACGAGAAAA